AGATCAGCGCGAATAACTTAATCACTGTTACGTGATACTTCATTGTGTTATAATTGCATTTTGTCGAATAATATTTCGGACCCGAGATCTCCGTTCGGACATAGTATAGCTAGCAGTATTCGTGTGCGCGACTCGGTAGGAATGTGCGGCAAAGGCTGATTCACGTTGCGGCAGCATGCTGCGACAGCATGCTTTGGTTAGCGTGCTTAGCTAGGTAAGACGGGCCGATACGAGAAGCGTAAACGTCTAAAGCATATGTGCCAGAAAGAGACGGAATGCGAGGAAAAAAAGATATATAATGAACCGGCGAAAACAACGACCCCAGACAGAATTAGTCAGTTAGGAGTGAGCGCTCAACTATAAGAAGCCTGCATTTTTCCTACTGAAGTTAAATCCATAATAAGAGTTTGAGAATATAACTGTTCGAGTTGCGATTAAGTATTAGAAGTGTCGAGTACAATTGTTTTAATAATTTTGTGTAAACGAAAATCATAGGAATTATCATTTTCTTGCGTGTTGCTACACTATTGGATAAAAATATATTGGACCAGTTAATCTGATCAGATTCAAAGAAAAACTGATTGGCCACATCGGGAGCAAATAATATTTTGGACCAATTTATATTTACAATTTTAATACAAAGTGAGTAATACTTTTTATGTAACCAAAAAAATAATAGACATCGCGAGGCGAAAATTACGCGTCTGAGAATTTATATATATATTTCTCTATTCTGCTTAACTTATTTATGTTGTGAAAGAGACTAGAATAAATATTATAATTATAAACGCCTATAAGTGTATCCATATGCTTCCCCATTATATTAAAGAAAATCGCTATTACATTTTTCCTTATAATAAACAAGCGAAAAAAGTTATAAACGTTCAATTATTTATTTTACAAAAACGATATCGAGTGTCGAATTATAATTAACAGGGATTTCATTATTGACGCGCGAACGGGCCGGGGTGCCCGAAAGCCTGACTGCCGCCCGAGTCTAAGGCCGCTCGGCTGTTGAAAAGGCCTTCGTATGGGACAAACTCGCCTCGCGCTAAAGCCACGGCGAGGACATGGAAAATTGTTTTTCACACGATCAGGCGCTCAGGAATTCATTGGAGTTTCGTTTTTTTTTGGTCGCGTAAGCGTAATTAGAGTCTTCGCGTCTGAAACCGGGCGCATCCTTTTTCCGTTCCCACATTTCATGATTAGTTGACGGAATAGCATTGGCAACGTGATTCTTTTGCTTAAAAAATATTTGAAAGTCGAAACGCGGCTTAGCAAAATTCCCTTGGGGTATTATTTATGAACGATCGTTTAAAATTTTGATGTGCGCGTTTGCGAAATATTTTATTTCTTTTTTTTTATTCTGTTGTAATAGGGGACTGACACTTGGCATTATCCCGTACCATTCAGTTATTAAAATTTCCCTTAATTATTTTTACTTTTACTTTTATTACGAAACGATAGATATATATTAGTTAATAAAATATATATTTTATTGGTTAATAAATTAATTTATTAATCAATGATTTATTTTATTAATATAATTTATTTATTGATTAATGGAATAATATAAATTAATTATTAAAATAAAAACTTATAATTATATATATATATATATATATATATATATAATAAATTGTTACTGATTGATAATAATAATTAGTATTTTATTGGTGATTATTATTTGAATAAATTATTAATTGTTAATTATAATTAATTAATAATAGTAATTGGTATTTTTTTGATAATAATTATTTGATTAAATTATTATCTTGTTGGGAATTATTATCATTGTATTATCGGCTTTCTTCATTTATTATCTATAATATTAAAAAAAAAATATACATACAAAAGGACCCTGGGCCATACATAATCCGTAAACCACTGCGGGAAAATTTACTGCGACCTTATATGAAAAAAGAAAGCCGAATGCCTCGTCTTCCCATAGACCCCTGAGTCTGCTAGAGACAGCGGGTAAACTGTACGAAGCGCTAATAAAACCGAAACTAACGGATGTGGTAACATCAATGTAGAACCGCGGACAACCGGCATGGTTTTCGAAGGCATAAGGATTATAAACGCCTATAAGTGTATTCATATGCTTCCCCATTATATTAAATAAAATCGCTATCAAGTGTCGCGGTAGCGACACGCAGGCGAGTAGGTTATGAAATAACTGCGAACTGCGGGCGCACCGTACACTATATACAATACATTGGCTAAAAGGGGCGTGGCCAAAAGCATTTTTCATCGTTTCATTATTTTCACGAGCGATATGGGCATGTATTATATGGTAGAATCGATCATTGAGATTACCATCTTTCATTTAAAAAATGTTTTAGTTCGATTGATACAATTTTCACAAAGTTATTCGTAAAACAAGATTTTTTGATAGTTCACTGTCTGAGCAGCTTTTTGTCCTACCAATTTTTTTGTCTCACGCGTATTATACGCATATCCCATGAGTATTATACGTACGCGTAATACTATGTTATACGCATATTCAGTGTCCCATCTATCTCATGTCTCATGTACATACGTTTATGTATGTATATGTATATGTGTTTGTGTTTTTTTGTTTGATTTGTTTGTGTGATTTTATTTTATAATAAATACTTCAAAACAATACTACTCGAATGCAAAACTTTCCAGTACCAGTAAACAAATGTATACCTCCCTTCGGATTGACCTTTGACTAATGTATCATAAAGTGAATTTCAAAAAATGATTGAAAAAAATGGAATTGTTAGTATTTTGAACGGAGCATCATGAAAAATATTGTCAGCATAATCAAAGATCATAATAAAAGAGAGCATAATGAAAGATATCGTAGTTATTCATTTTTGTGTTGATTTTTTTATTATTATATTATATTATATTTATATTTATATATATTTATGAATTCCTTTATTTACAGATTAATACGAATCAATTATTATTTTTATTATTATTCTCTTGATTGTCTGGGTCATCGTCATTTCTGTTAGGCACGTAAGTGCACTCCTTTGCCATATTCCATAGAAATGTAGCCATGCGACTGGCATTACGCCTCATCCGAGAGTTCACAGCTGCATAGGGAGTAGTACCTATAACGATGAACAATTTGTTATAGTTCAAATTTTATTATATAAAATATAATATATATATTACAATTAAATTATATAGGAGGATGTCATATAAAATAATATCAAAACTTACGTCTGTTATTATTGCGGTTTCTGTTTAGTCTCATAACTGAACCTTGCATGGGCACATTATTTTGCTGATTTACAGGGATGTTTTGCAAAGGCCCTGCAAAATTATTTGAAAGAAATTTCTTTAGTATAAGTTTGAGCCACTAAATGAGGACATGAATTCGTTGCTTACCTAATTGTTGTCCAGCAAAACCAGCATTCTCAACAGCACGACCAGCATTATTTGGGACAGCATTTCTGTTAGCTGTATTAAATAGAATAAAAAATTGTAAAAAAAGTTTTGCAGGTTCTATTGTTACAAATTATTATAAAAGAGCAGCCGTACAAAAATGTATTATTACTTATATACCTTGAACTTGGTCATTGACTTGAGCTTGCACATTTGGTATTGCCGGATCGTTTGGAATTCCTTGATTTGCATGTCCAATTTCATTGAGTTGTTCAGGATGATGAACATGATGACCAATACCATCATTTTGATGTACATGTAAATGCTCATTGTCAACTCCAAAAATCACAGGATGATCCTGAATCTGCTGCACTAAAATTTATAGAAAACAGAACTAATTTATTTGTGCACAGTTTAGATGAGAATAAGTTTTAAGCTTGGTCATATAAATAAAACATATATGAAAAATCTATTGGTTTAAGGGAAAAAAATTAAATACACATACCAGGTACTTGAGCATTTTCTTGTAAGTTCGGTGGACGAATTTGAACTCGGTTTTGCTGTCCATTACCAGCTCTGGCAAGTCTTTCCAATTCTTCATTATGGTTATCAATATCCATTTGTTGAAAATTATCTGCAAAAAATAGTATTGATCTGCAAAAAATAGTATTGATAGCAATAAACAATGAATAAAATGGAAACGTCGGAAATACAGTTTACTGTATTTACTTCTTAGTATTGAAATCAAAAAGTATTGCATAGCAATAGCAATATGAACAATATATAAAATGGAAACGTCAGATAAAATTATTTCTAGATTACTATATTTACTTATATTATTCAAATCAAAAAGTATTGTAAATGAATTCAACTTTTTCATATGTAGCATATTAAACTAAAAACTAAACTATTACAAAATTGAATAACAATAACCTGCTAGATTGTTGTTTTGATTGTCTTCACCTAATAAGGCATTTATTTGAGCAACTTCATCCATTTTTTGTTGTTTGTTAAGTTTATAAAAAGCTTTCTAATTCACTGATAAAATTAAAGATTGAAGCGGTTTCCAGTATTTAATATTAATACTAATTGCCTTTTTGCTTCACGAATTGGCGATTCTAACTTATATAAATTAGCCCTAGTCTTGATCACATTTATCTTTAAACAAGTTGACTCTCGCAAGATTTTTTTACCATATTTTAGCGTCAAACCGAAATTTGCAGGTAACCTTCGCTTGTCAAAACAACGTGTACAAGCACGATCGAGAACAATTGACGTATAGCTCTAAATAAATCCGCTAGGAATGTTCACATCACCTTTTGAATATACCGCTTATACACGTGATTTTTTTTTAATTTGCTATGAAAACTTAAAGTGGGTATTTTTTTGTATTATTTTTATCTATATCGATTTCCTTCAAATTTAGCTCGATAATTAAAACAAAATTAGTTTTTTTCTACTTACATACAGTGTCTTTATTAATGATTTGTATTTAGATTTTTTTATTACTGCTGATAAGTTACTTTTACAGTATAATTTCAATTTTTCCTCATATTTAGAATTTTTTTCACATTATTGTTTACAAACATTTTTTTATAAAGATTTAGAAAACACACCATTCTGAAATTTTTTTATCTCAATACTACTGTTTTTTTACAAAATAATAAAAAACCTGGAAAAATAAAAAACATACTGTTATTATCAATTACATACTATTTTAATGAATGGCTATGCTTGACTCATTTTTTCAACTCACATGATTGTTTTTATTAGTTTAATATTTCATGTATTATGTCTGGAATGACATTCATTCAACAAACTCCACAAGAAGATAGAGAAGCTTTTGGCGTGGTGATATTCTTTAGTAATTTTGCCAGCTCGAGTTCCTCTAAAGGATTTACCTGAAACAAAAGAGTTCATTTTCAACTTAATTAACATATTTTTTTAAATATTATACTAACAAAAGACATTCAATAGTTAGAAAGTCATAAGTTAGATAAATTTATCCATCTATAGTATTATATAAACTTACGGTTATTATATGAATTAGTTGAAGATAAATTACTTGATGATTGACTAATCTGTATCAAAGAAGTAGATCTCGTTGATGGATTCTGATCAAACAGATTGGAGCTTGATATTGGAGCATTCCCTTCTTTAGAATAAGTTTTTGATTCTAAATTAGTATCTAGATGGCTAGACTGTACCAAAGAAATATCTTTTGATGGAATCTGAGATAGATTGGTGCTTGGTGTTGGAGCATTCTCTCCAGAAGAATTTGTGGATTCAACATTAGTCTTCAGAGTTGTTGTATTAGTGCACTCTCGTGCCAATGCCAAAAAAAAACTTTCCATCCTTCTAAACTGCGTTTTCTGTTTGGCATGTTTACCTCCTCTAGTTCCTCGTGTTTTTTTGTCTTGACGTTGCATATTTAGCTGCAAATAAATATGACCATGAAAACTACATAAGTTTTTTCAATTTTTTTGCAATATAATGAGCAAGTCATATTAAAACAATAAATACTGATAACTTGACTTGATTCATTTTAAAGAAATATATTGCAAACAAACAATTAATTTCAATTTTTTAAAACAAATAATGCACAAATATCCATGATTGAAATATAAGAATGTCACTGCAATCATGACAGATCTGAGAGCATTAAGTAAATAATCACAACTGATTATAAATATATTTTATAAACATGTTTTACTTGGTTTTAAAATTCGTGTGATCTATTTATACTTACTACTACTAAAAATTAGAATATTTTATAACTCTTCAAAAATTTTATTCTTCTGAGTGGCAAATAAAATTTTATGTATACGTACACATACATGTACATTGCCTAACCTAATAAAACAAATCACAACACATGCGTGTAAGTGATGTGAATCGAGTTTAAAAAATTACCAAAAAAGTTGCCAAAGAAATTTCGTCGATAATTTAATCGTTAGCTCATCCAGCGAAGCAACGGCATTCAGAATAAAACTTTACATTAATCAATCAAAAATTCAACAAACAATCAACGACATAAGGTTTGATAAAGTGCATATCACACTTCGGCAAGTTCCTCACTTCAGACCGCTCGCTCTCTCCAGCATCTACTTACTGTATATAGTGTATATTCCATGGCGGTGGCATACACATGTGTCAAATCAAAATTAAGGAGCAAAACAAACAGCAATCCGTCTTCTTACTTTTAACATTCTTGAAAATACGTAGCCGTTATTTTTGCGACAATCAGTGTGCTCTGAGTATTCGAGTATGTATTTTTCGATTATATAGTAGAATAATAATTTTTGCAAGTTCGGTGAATGATTTGCAGATTTGTGGTCTTGAGAAAGCTGTTCATCCATCCATCATTCAATTCAGATAAATCTGTTTGTTGGCCTTCTGGTCTTGTCAATAGTTCAGTGAGTAAAGCAAAATATAAATAGCCAATTTTATAAGCAATCCCAGCTGAAAATAGTAATTGGATATCTATTTATAAATACATGCATGAACGATATTTTTATCAATTAATAAATATATTTTCCTTGATCAATAGAAGAATATTTTATACTTACATTAAAAATAACACATCTAAATTGAAAATGTAAATTATATATTATTCAGCATGAATAACCAAACAAAGTTACGTATATGAATGTACTATTAACAAAAGCATACCTTTATTTCACAATTAATCACATCATTGTCTCAATTGCCATAAATTATCATCAAATCAAGATACGACAGTTTAATGATTTTTTTATGATTGACCATATCAATGGACAATGTCAGGGTCCGTGAAGGATTTATAATGAATAATTAATACTGAAGCCAATGGGACAATACATACAGTAGATTTCAATGGTTCATTGATAAAATTGTCAAAAAAAGTTACAGCAACTCAATGTCTCACTCACTTCAAGATCAATTGTTGATTAAAAATCCTTCACGGACACTGACATTGTTTATTTTTGGTAAGTCATACAAAAATGATTAAGTTGACAAAATTTGGCTTGGCAATTCATGGCAAATATGAAATGTACCACTGATAAAAGCATACCTTAATTCTACAATCGATCACATCATCACCTTATTTGCAATGAATGGCCAAATAAAGATACGTCAACATGATTATTTTTTTCATAACTTACCAACAATAAAGGGTGTCAGGGTCCCTGAAAGCTTTTTAATGAACAATTAATCTCAAAGCCAATGGGACAATAGAGTAGGTTTCAATGGTTCATTGACAAAATTTTCAAAAAAGTAACGGCAACTCATTTAGGAGCTAACATTTTTTGGTGTTGAAATTGAATATGTAAAACTTTTGCATAAAAGTAATGCAATGCTTCAAAATGATTACTAACCAATTTCCAAATTCTATATACCTGCATCTTTTTTTCAGATTTTGAGACAAGTAATTACAAAAGAAAAAGGAGTACTTCGAAGGTACAGAAGTGAGTATAATGTTTTTATATATAGTTACCATGAAATTTGTTTTTCAACAATAATTTCATAACAACTTTTCATTGTTGATTTCATAATAAATTTTCATTATTGATTTGGTATCTTTGAAAATCACAGTTTCCACGTATCGCAGGATACCATTTCATCAATAATACTTCATTTTTCAAATTTTCAAGTATATCTGTTTTTAATACTATATGCATTGAATTACTTTTTATTATTCGCTACTATGACGTTAATAAAATATGAATATTTTACTTTCCTCTTTAAAATATTTCCTCTCTGATTATTTATATTCTTGTGAAATTACAGGTACCTTGTATAGAACAGTAGAAACCGATATTGGTGAGTTTGGTAATAAAATAAGGCTGCTAAAAGCGCCGAATATAAGGCTGCTAATAGCGCCAAATAAAAAGCTGCCTAATGCGCTAAATCCAGGCTGCTTTAAGCGCCAAATACAAAATAAAAAAACTGAACACTGTGCAATATTTATCATAATTAGATATTTTATTATTGCAATATTTTGTAAATTATAATTTATTAAATTGTTTGCTATAAAATAAATAAATTGTTGAAGATACATACTATTTATGAAAATGGCTCCCTTCCCTCTCACAAAAGATGAAGAACTAATAGTTCGAGATCCATCAGCATGTCTCAAAGATTCTCACATCGATAAATTCCATAGTATATTACAATTAAGTTCAAATTTCAAGCCTAAAACCACACTTTATACATCAGTATTTGTTAAAAATCCACAAAGTAAACGATTCGACTCACTCCCTAAACATTTACCTCATTTACAGATATTGCATAGTTGCAATAACAATTGCTTTCAAGGTAAGTGTAAAAACGGACATTGGGTTTGTTTATACTACAATACGAAGCAAATTTTCATTTATGATTCATTGAATCAACAACGGTTACATAGTAGCCATGAAATATTTCTAAAAAATTTGTTTTCTCATTTCGATGAATTACGCATATCGTTTCCAAAAGTCCAACACCAAAATAATGCAGTAGATTGTGGGGTTTTCGCTATAGCTTTTGCGACGTCTTTGTATTTCAAAAAATCTCCAAGTACCATTCTATACGATACAACACGAATGCGAGAACATCTTATTGCCATGTTTTGGTCAAATAAACTCAAGCCTTTTCCAGAATTGTTGAATTACGATAAACAAAGCTTTGTACAAACTATAGAACTAAACAAAAAGAATGATTCAAGCGTTTCGTTTAAAAACTACAAAAGGTCGGAAAATTTACTGAGTTCATTTTCTAGTGATTGGAAAATTATTGGAATTGAAAACAAAGATAAACGTTCGAATTACGCGACGGCAGCTTTGCAGAGCTTGTTTCATTGCCCTTCGATCAGATTACAGTTTTTTAACAATACAGAGAATAACGAATTGCAAGAGGCTTTTCAGGCGTATGCTTCTGGTGACAGCCTGTCAATAAAAAAGGTTAGGTCTTTTGCTGGTTATAAATTTATTTTGAATGAACACGCAGATGCTGCTGATTTCATAGTAGAAATATGTCGTAAATCGAGAAACATGCAAGCAAGTCTTGCATTCAAATTTACTACAGAAGTAGGTTGTAAATCTTGTGATATTCTACGTAATTCTGAATCGGGATACAATTACATACTTCCATTATCCATTCCAAACAACATGCACCATTCGAGTCTCCAAAAAATTATTGAATGTAACTTTGGCCAATGGACTTACTTGGATTTACCGTGCGATAAACAATGTGGTAATCAAAAATGTATAAGAAAATCTGTTCAAACATCAAATGACATTTTAATTTTAAAATTGAAGTTATTCGAATTTAACAATGAAGGTAAAAGTAAAAAAATTACCAACTTCGAATTGGAATCTTTTGAAAAAGAAATAATATTCATTTCCGAAAATATGTATAGAGTGAGAAGCGCAATATTTTACGTTTCTAGTTTTCCATATGGGCACTATACTAGTGTGCTTCGCGAAGCGAACTATTGGAGAATGGTTGACGACTTGAGCGTTTGTCTATGTTCTACATTTCCGTGGCAGGAGGGGGCATACATTATTTTTCTGGAAAAAATTAGTGACCCAACTGCTAAAAAAAGTGATAAAAATATTTACGAGTCCACAGAGAAACTGAATAGCATTGATAATGACAAATCAAATCTCAAGTCTGTTAAAATCTTTCCAATTCAATCTTCTAATATCCTAAAAATCACTAATGGTAATAATAGTTCAGAATTCCAAAAAAATGATATGATATCTGCTGTAGAAATAACTGAAAGAAAAACTTTTGACTCGAAAATAGAATTAGAAAAGGTGGGCATAGAAAAACCACAATCAAAATTCGTATTGAAATTTCCAACTAGATCAAGTGTAATGATATCAAAAGTCAACGATTTTAATGATGAACAACCTGTAAATAATAGTTATTGTGGAGTTAAAAATGATGTGGACGACTGTTACAATAATATGGAATTTTCGAAAAATGATCCGATATCAATTGTAGAAATAACTGACAGAAAAATAAATGACTCGAAAATGAAATTGAAGAACTTGGGAGTTCGAATTTGCAAATCTGTTCTGAACAATCTCTCTCGTTAGAATCGGATGGTATTGATAATATAACAAGTGAGAGCATGATTAATTCGTATATTATTGACATGAATGATTCTCAATGCTTTATTAACACCGCC